GGCTTTCACGACCTTTTCATTTACTGTGATCTTATTCAGTCACAATATGTTGGAGATGCATTGGTACCTTTGCTTCGAATTGTTCCTGTAGAAGGAAAGGTCGGGGAGCGAGTCAGTAAATCATTTTTGCGCCCCCAATATTTACCTGTCAGCAGAAAGCAATTTGAAACCGTCGAAGTCGATATAAAGACAGACACAGGGGAGTCTGTACCATTTGAGCTTGGGAGAGTGCTGTTAACACTTCATTTTCGTCAAAGTGCACCTCAGTACTTTTAAGATGAAAAAACTCCACACTCCAAATCACAAGTTGTACGAACAGTACTACGTTAATCAAGCTAAACAAAAAGGTGGGAGTTTACCAGCGTTTCACGGTGCTCGATTTCAGCGGGGTTATGGACTAGGGTCCATATTTAGAGGCCTGTTTCGCTGGGCGATACCTCACCTTCAACAGGGTGCTAAGGTGATTGGAAAAAAGGCTTTACAAACAGGAGTCAATGTTGTCCAAGATGTTCTTGATGGAGATAACGTTAAAACAGCAGTCCACAAGCGCACGAAACAAGCCCTCGGTCTACCCTCCCAGAATTCATTGCAGGAACAATCAGGAGCTGGCAAAAAATCTATAAAAAGGAAAGCGCAAGGAACCAAAATCAGTTCGCCTCCAGGCAAGAAAGCAAAAACATCTCCGCAGCAAAAGAAGCCCAAAGAGAAATTTTCTTTCTGGAAGTAACTATGGCCTTTGTGCATCACGAGTCTCAGGAATGTACGAAATCGGAGTTGGATCTCTTTACGATTCCTGCAACACAAACCTCTATCACCAAAGGGCAATGGATCGAGTACCACCCCATCAGTAACATCACGGACAGTGGTCCGATCGAATTTTATGTTTCGGGAACCGGAGATGAGTATTTGGACTTGGCACGTACTCAGTTATTTGTGAAAGCCAAGATCACAAAAGCAAATGGAACCGCCATAGATGCCGATACACAAGTAGGTCCCGTGAACCTGTTTTTACATTCCCTGTTTTCGCAAGTGGACGTTTCCTTGAACGAGCGATTGATCTCTCCATCTACCAATACCTACCCTTATCGCGCCATGATAGAAACCTTGCTAAACTACGGAGAAGAAGCAAAAACAAGTCAACTTTCTATGGCCATGTTTTACAAAGATACCCCTGGAAAAATGGATGTTGCCAACCCTGTGGCTGCAGACGATGCCGCAAACAAGGGGTTAAAGGTTCGCTATGATTTCACTAAAGAAAGTCATATTGTGGATATGATGGGGCCCATTCATAGCGACATTTTCTTTCAAGACCGGTTGATGCTAAATGGAGTGAATTTAAGAATCAAACTGAACCGAGCCAAGAACTCGTTTTGTCTGATGTCATCAGCAGCCGCTCCAACTTTCAAGGTGGTAATCACAGAAGCCATCTTGTTCGTTCGCAAGGTGAAATTGGCCTCTTCTATTATACTTGGCCATGCTGCTGCACTAAAACACTCCAGCGCCAAGTACCCGGTTCGCCGAATAGATTGTAAAGTGCTGTCTATTCCAAGAGGATTTAGCAGTTTTAACCCCGACAACATCTTTTTGGGGCACATCCCCAAACGAATCGTGCTGGTCTTAGTGGATACTCAGGCATATAATGGAACTTACAGTACCAACCCGTTCAACTTCGAACACCACAATCTAACTCAAGTGGGTGTCTATGTAGACGGAGAGCAAATTCCTCGGAAACCCCTGTTCTTGAATTTTGACGAAGCTGGAGGTCAAAATGTAATAGCAGGCTATCAAAGCCTGTTCTCAGGCACTGGAAAGTTATCCCAAGATGCGGGTAATCAGATCAGTAGAAGCGATTATGGCTCTGGTTATACAGCATTCTGCTTTGACTTGTCCCCAGACCACTGCTCAGGTGACCATTTTGAGCTAATAAAGCAAGGTAACCTGCGCGCTGAGCTTCATTTCAAGGAACCTCTGGCCAATACGGTTAACCTTATCGTGTACGCTGAATTCCAAAATGCGATTGAAGTTGACGGGAACCGCAACGTGTTGTTCGACTACACAAACTAAAAATGGACACTACTCAACTGACCCTTATTTTGAGAAAGGATAAATTTACACGAGGTGTGTTTCAAGGCGTGTATCCCTCAGACCTGCTGCCTGCCAGTGTTTCACATTACCCAGCCCTGTTTATCGCCAATGTGGATACGAGTGACAAGCCAGGTTCACATTGGGTGGCGTTTTATTTCACCAAGGAGCAAGAGGGAGAATTTTTCGATTCCTACGGATCACCACCCAGCAAATATTCAGGAACATTTACTACCTTTTTAAACAACAATTCTAACCAGTGGACTTTTAATACTGTGACATTACAAAGCATCTATTCAAAAGTCTGCGGACATTACTGTTTGTATTTTGCTTTATATCGTAGTCGGCGAATAAGTATGAGTACTATTGTCCATCGTTTTTCTCAAGACACAAGTAAAAATGATAGTATTGTAAAACGATTTATTGAAAAACATTATCCTATAAGTTTTCCGAAATATCGTACTGATGTAAAGATGCAAAGAGCAAAAGCACAACACTAAGGTCAGTAAACAGACACCATGTAATTTCTTTTCAACACATTTTATTGAATAAGCAAAATAAAGTTTTGTGTTTCACAATAAAAAAGTCTCTTGTCATGATTTATAATCGTAACCATCGAACAGCCTGAGGGCGAGGACTCTCGACTCTGCGCCTCTGCTTTTTGACAGAAGATAACGTCACAGGTGGGGTGGGTAGCCAACGCGAAGGACTTTCTGGGGTCTCCTCTCTCACTCTTGCTTTAAACTCTCTTATGGCACTCTGACGTTGGGGATTACGAACCAAGTTTTCGGGGACATTCATTCGCGCCAGGCCCCTCGCAAACACGGACCACCCCACTGGCTCAAATCCTTTTCGGTGACGCAATGTGTCGTTGACTAGGTCGACCACATGAGAACCTGGGATTGGTTTGTTTTCATACAACAGCTCTCCTTTATCATTCCAATGTAACACATCCTGGTGTTTTTTAATTTTATCCAACAACTGTCTAGCCCCAGCTTTGTATATTTTCGGTACACTTCTCAGGACCTCTAGCTCTACTGCTGTTGGAAGAGAATTATCTGGAGAACCTTCCTCTGTAGATTCTGCGTTCTCAACTGGTTTGGAGGTTTCTGTTGTTTTAGGGGTCATTAACTTCACATGGAGAGGTTGGCCTTTCCGCTGATCGTAATAAGTCAAGTACCGTTGCAACACCTGATTGTAAAGCTTCGCCTTTTCCTCATCATCAAGCTGTTTATTTTCTAAAATATCCCCCATTTGGCTATCCAGATTTTTCAGAGTTTGTGTTACAGGTGGTGTTAATATCTGCTGACGTTGCTGTAATCGCTCCAGAGTGTTCTCAGGAACGAGAACCATGCGTCTTGTATGATTCATCTTAAGTAAGAAGCGAGCTCAACACCCGAAGAACGGGAGGTAGCAAAACACTTAAAAAGTTTCCTCCGTGTTGTACCAAGATTTGCTTTTTCTTGTTTAGCGGGGTACTCTTTTCAGCTAAAGCAGTCAACGCTTTCTTGTGCTTAAGAAGTTTTTTCTTTGCCGGTTTACTGACAGGGACTGTTTCTTTAAGTACGTTGAATACACACTCACAAATGGTTCTTACTAAAGCGTCGTCGGCTGCTTTCAAAATTGCTTTACGTTGAGCTGGGGTACACTTGACGAGGAGCTTAAGAAAATCGTGGTTCTTTCTTAGTCGCTGGGCCATACTCAACTGATATCAATCACTACGATGGAGCTTTTTTATACCTTTCTGACATAGGCGAGCTGAGTCTCTCCAGGGAAAATGCTTGTGCGCAATCGGAAGTCGGTAGGCGTTTCCGGTTTGAGGTCGCATAACAGGTAGCCATAAGGGCGTTTTGTCGCATCCTGAAACGCTTCTTGCATGTATTTGACATGACCGGGAAACATCTGTTTCGCCAAGTGACTGACTTGACTGCTATCCCGCGGAGACTTGAACATCACCAAATAATGGCAATTCAAACTCATGTCTCTCAGTTCTTTTCCCCGGTGAAAAATATTTTGAAGAATGAAAATAACGCTTAAATTTCGGTGATGACAGCCCTTAGTAAACAAATTGGTAATTCTTTGATCACTGCTAAGCTCCTGCATTAAATCGTCAATGACCACTAAATTCCGAATGGTTGGGTTTATCATGGATTCTAAATCACTAGGAACTCCTTCGACGAACGTGATGTTGGGAATAGTCCTTAGCATCTCATCGTAAGCCGGTTGGTATATCCCATAACACCAAATGATATTTTCAGGAGCTCCGTCTATTAATTCTTCTCCAGATTCCAACAGGTGTTTGACAAACTGACTTTTTCCACAACAAGTGGGGCCAGCTACAATAGCAGGAAAGGGGTGTTTCCACCTTGGGTCCATGTTGACAACTGACTGGTTCAACTGCGTTTGCTCTTATTTATTGAGAAATGGTCTTTGGTGGAGTATCTTTATCATATACACGAATCATGTTGGTATTTTGTAATTTAGCAAACTGGAGCCAATATTTTCTCTCTAAGTCAGACAGCTCGTGTACCTGAGCCAAATGGTTTGCTAATCGAACTAAAAATTTTGACCCACAGCCGGGAACAGGACAATGCCTGCATTTTAGTTTTTTCATGTTAACGGTACGAAAGCAGACTTAAAACTGAACAAATCTATTTTGCGACACGAAATTTATCGTTTATTTTCGAGGGCACAACGGGCACCAAGGGCATAAAGGGCAGAAATTAAGTGTTTTTTTTTTCTCAGGAACACGCGAGAAGGTCGCGTGGGGAAGTTGTGCGTGGGAACACACTCGCGCCTTAAGTCAGAGAATTACAAGAAACGCGTTTTTTTTATAAATCGTTTTATTTATGAATCACACACGCTACAATTTTTGATACTCATTTTTTTAAATACAGCAATCAATTTACAACACAATTTTATATATCTAGAGGCATGGTGGTAACTCCATCCTCCAACACTTTTCTTTTGGGGTAAAAGTAGGAAAACCCATCTCGAACTTGTTCATAAGTATACATGCTATTGTTGACTACCCGAAAACTTTTATTTAATCCTGGACTACTCTGTTTGGTCAACAGAACATTAAGATATTTTTCTTTGTTAATGTCGTTTGTTTTCTTGTTAACCCCTTTACAACTGAACTTATCATAGGCCCCAAAGCAATAGTAGGTCTTTCTACTTAGACCAATTATTCCTGCCCCTGTCCACTCTTCCTTAAATAAACCTGGTGTTCTTTTGTCATAAGCTTTGTGTTCTGGAGTGTCGGTTCGTGGAAACCAATTGGCCTTGTCTGCTTCAAACTCTTCTCTTAACTCTGGTTTTACTAAACTTTCTACCGATTGCCCTGCGATCGCGATATAGGCAGAGTCGGTGTCCATTTCACAATACTGAAAATCACTACGATCAAGATACTTATCCATGAAATCAAAATAAAACTGAAGCATTCTAAGTTTAGCGTATTGATAAACGAAAAAACCTATCTGCATGGGAAGGTTCAACTTGATTTTTTTCTTGCAAGATTGCACTTCAAACGTATTTTTATCAATCAGTTCAATCTGTCTAAAGAAGGGTTTGTTTATTAAGCGGGACGCTTTGGTTTCTTCACAAAACTGAACTTCTCGGTGGCGTTCTTGATCGGTTATCGTTTTTCCATAACTCGAGTTCCCCACCTATGAAAAAAGACAACATTGATATGAGTTTTTTTTTGCACCTTAAAACGTATTTCTCCCTCCGTTCCCTCAATAGGAGAACAACTTACCAATTTCATAGTGTCTGCGATGATGGCTTTGTTTGGGTCTACATCTCCAGCCCGTCTAGCATCCGATACAGCTTCTCCAAAGGGTTGGAAACAGGGAACGGGTGTATACTCCACTACTTGATAAATATGAGTCACTTCCAGACCATGCTCCAAGTACCACTTAATGAGTGGGGAAGCCAATAAGATCTTCTCACCAAAATAGCTACCAACGAGACTTCTTCGAGGTTGTGACATGATGTTCTCTTCCTCAGCAAAGGTTTGCATGTGCTGACCAATATCTTCTCTTGAAATTTCTATGTTTTTGAAAATGGGGCACATTTCTGCAAACTTGGGTTTTAGTGCATCAGGTACTCGCACGTCACACTCGACCACTCCAAAGAGGGACTCGTTTCTAATAGCGCTTAAGATCTGGTCTTGTGTCAGAGTCTTGTGATGATCAAGAGGGCGATTAAACTTGGAGTTAAGAAACTGCTGAACTTGTGAGTTGGTTTTCTTAATTCGACGCCACTGGCACTTGTAGATTTCCACAAGATTGTACCCCTGATCCTTGATGTACTTGGAGGTTTCTTTGGTTTCTTCTCGTAACTCCGCCATTGGTCTTTTTCTCTTTTCGTTCATTTCCTTTCCTTTAGTAAGATGACAGATATGCCCATGCCACCAGCAGCCATGTAACTGAAAGACTGTTTGCGAAGGACCGTGAAAACCATCCACTGGTATTTTTCTTTCACCAATGCGTTTTTCTGTATTGTTCATTTGGTGGCGTATAAAAATTCCTCCTTCATGTGCCTTCCACTCTAACCACTCGGTTGCCATCCTGGAAGAACTTTCTCTCTTGAAGCCAGTTTCCTCTCGGCGTCTTGTAAATGATCCTGTGGGCATGTCTTGCATGATGGCCCATAGATATAAAGCATTGGCATCGTATCCAACAATCTTTTGACAGGTTTTTGCTTGTTTTCCTTGATCCTCCATTTCTTTTTTTCTGATTTTGGTTTTTCCCGCCTCGTGATATCGATGAAATATTATACTGGGGCCACCCACCATATTTTTCTTAAAGAGATAGTACAGATCTTTGTTTTTTTCGTCAAACAGAGAGAAGAAGATGCCAGATTCCAGGGTGGTAAAGAGGTACGTCAAGGTAACACCGGGAATAGAAATACCTTGTCTTAACATGTCTATCTTTTTATCTTTCCAGAAGGCGCACATTTTTTCCAGGGCCTCACAGAAAGGTTGAACATCTAGGTTGTTGTACCAGATGAGAAATTCTCGAAAGGTCTGCATATTATTGTTCGACCAGACTTGTTGGCAGTACTGGTAGTCTTCATCAGAAATGTTCTGGTTTTTTAACGTAGAAAAGAACGCTTCGTGAGGTGGAAGGGAAGGGTGTTTTAATTTCTCAAGAGAATCAAGCCATTCATAAGGAAAGAACCCCTTGGTTTGAGGACACTCGTAGGCCTTCAGAAACTTGTCGTAGCTGAAACCGGGAGCAAGAAAGTTGGTGACGTCGAGGAAGCGAAGATGTGGGGTCTTTAGGCACATGAAATTGTGGTTACGCTTGATAGTAAACTGAACGCCCTCATTCTGGACCAGGACAGGAAACAGAAATTCTTTGACGGCATTCAAGTCATATTTACCAGAATTGAAGCCCAGGACAGGAAGTTCTTGTAGATATTCTTGGAAACGATCTCTCAGTTTCTTTAAAGGGTGCACTTTTTTCTTCTTAGGTTCTGGGCTGTTGTCCTCTGGTCTGTCATAAGCACACTCTGGATCATTCTCACTCTGATCCTCGTTTTCGCGATCTAAGGCCCTATAAAACGAGGCACCTTGTTCTTCTACGTCATCGTCAATAAAGACACGATCTTCTTCGGTTTCAGACTCGATTTCTTCTTCCTCTTCATTATCTGTGTCCATGAGATCTTCTCCTTCATCATCGCTATCTTCCTGGGTGAGGTTTTCTACTGTGTTAGTTTTTGAAGGGTCACCAGCTTCTGATTTTTGCTTTAGGTCTTGCAGCTTTTGGTCGATGGCTTCAAAAAGAAAGTTAAACTCTTTTCTTAACAGGTCATAACTTTGTTCACTGATTTTTACGAGGTGTTCTAACATCTCTTTGACGAGCAGTTTAGAGTCCCCATCTGAGACAAAGCACTTTGGTTGGTCGTAATCTGGAACGTTGGAACAGACACTCACGCTGAGGGGTATATGTTTAGCGTCCCAAGTCAGTTTCTCTGTATCGTTAAGGTCTGTTTCAGGTGTAAACATACACTCAAAGTCAAAGGTAGCTCTGTAGGGGAAGAACTTGAGATGCTCGGGAACAGTCAATCCTTCGTCTTCAAGCAACTGAAAGATGGTTGGTGGGGTCTTGTAAGCACCTCCTGGAAACTGGTAATTAACTTTCGCTTCACAGGTTCGCTCGTGACGATTTAACATACCAACATGTTTCCACAATGTTCCACATCGCGAGCAGCTGTAGGACTTGGCATACTTCTTTAAATCTTTAATATAGGAAAAGTGATTCTGGTACAGGTTGAGGTACAGCGTAGTTGGGTAGTGGCAAAGGGAGCGGTGAATCAACTGCGCAGCGATCTCAGGAGCGAAATCCTCTTCCTCTTTTTCGATGTCTTCTTCTCCCTCCTCTCCATCGGGTTTAGTGGGTTCGAGGGAATAGACAAAAATGTTGACTTCGTAGAGGTGTTCTAGGTCGATCAGTTCTTTCAGCTTTACACCACAAAATTTCTTTTTCTCAGGAAAAAACTCTCTATATCGCTCATAGTAATGTCGTGCATCCCGCTCTAGATTCTTTGGGTGACAACCGTTGTGGAGTGCCAAAGCGCGAAAGAAGCACAAATTGTCGCTGTAGATTTTACCAGTCTGGTGGTTGCGATCCAAGGCGACCAAACCATGGTTCTCGGCCAGATAGGAAGGTAAGTAAGTACCTCTCCCTATAGGATGACCCCGTAGCTTGGTGACGAAGAAAGTGATATTGGTCACCTGTTCTACGACCCATTTAGAGTTGGGGCGTCGCTGGCGTATCCATTCCAAGACGTCAAGGTTTAGCAATGCTTCACGAACTTGCTGAAGGTCAGCTGCGGTGGTAATTTGAAAGGGCGCTTCAAAGACTTGCTCATTATTTCTGGAGGCATAATAATATTGAAGTGCTCCAGTCTCATTGTTGCGTAGAATGAAACCAAAAGACACATTCAGCTTAAACACCGTGGACTGGTCAGTAAAAATGTTATTCAAATGAGTGATAAGTTCTTGAGGTTGGAGAGAGGACAGGCGGAAATTGTACCAGTCCAAAAGGCGATTTTTGCGGCTAAAACGAGTGCGTATTTGATGCCAGTGGTTGCGGTATTCGGGAACGAGACTTTGTTGTGCTTCAGGGAGATCGGTGATAGACCTTGGCTCTTGCTGCCAACTAGAACTTGGAGCTGACTGTCTTTTTTCGATAGGGGTCGACTTTATTTTCTTGGTTTTTTGCTCTGAAAGAAAAAAAGGGTATACATCTATCTAAATAGAATATCTTCAATGTGTTCAAAGTAAAAGTTACGTTTTATTCCATATATTGTGAACTTACAATGACTTGTCTAAATTTACTGAAATACTATCAGTTTCTAGCTTCTGTTTTTATAGGTTATTTCCGATTCAAAAGTAAATTTGCAGTCAGCGGCTTATATTTACCGGTAAATATGTTGTGTTTTAAACCTCCATTTGTCACCCTGAAATGATTTTGTGACCCCGAACCTTACCGCGGTATATACTAGTAGAGGGGAACAATGTCGATGTAAGTCACACGATACGTCCTCTTTGAAATGACCCTGATATCGGACCTTATGGTTTTAAGGACAAAAGAAGTGTTTAACAATGTGTGACCTCTATTATATTCAGTAAGGTATTACTGTAAACAAAGGCCAATAAAGCACTTTTTCAACATATCCTACTTTCTATTATGCTTTGCGAAGGAAATTTACATAGCAGTTATCATTTAATTTATACAACATGTTGTTTTGGTATTGCAAAAGAGTCTTCCTACCTGAGTCGTCTTGGCGTGGACGTTTTGCAGTCGTATAGGGTTTGCTGTGAGCTGTTTTCTGATGTGCTATAAATGGGGCCAGATTGTGAAATGTCTCTCCACAGGTTGAACACTGATATTCCCGCTGAGCCGCTCGTCTCTCGTGGACTTGTTTCTCGTGGCGTTTCAGATCCCAATTGCGATGGAACGACTTGTCGCACTTATTACACTGATGTGGTTTCTCGTTGGTATGTGTTTTTTCGTGGCGCTTTAATTTATCTGGTCGAGTGAAGACTTTTCCACAGATTTCACATACATGGCGAGACCTTTTGGTGGAAGAAATATCTTCTTCATCCTGTAAAAATATAAGGTGTATTAACGACGGATTTACAATCCGTTTTAGAGATACCGTGCGACAAGTATTATTTGCGCGGTCTTGCCTCAAAATTACGTCAACAATTGAACAAAGCCTTTCATCTGCATGGTTTTATCATTCTTTTATTTATACCATAAGTTGTTTTTGTAAAACAATAATTTAAGTCCGTCAAACTGTAAGAACTTAACTGGCTTCATTTATCGTATTATCTAAATCGAATCAATCGTAAGATAACTTTTGTCGAAGCTGTTTCTTCTCAATATAATTGTTAATATGTAAATACCATTTAACCACTGCTAAATTTATGTATTCCATGTTTTACTTTTATAACTTCTTAATTTTTGTGATTTTATCTATTTGTATTTTTGGACTATTTCAGTTCACGAGAGAGATTTAACGAGCTACGACTCCTGAACTCTTCGTGGTTATAAATAAAGTATGTCGAACAACCTAAAGGTACCTTAATTAGTATTATAAAACCTACCTCTGCTAGCCGTTTCCTGCCAGCTCCACTCTGTATTTGGTTCAAGTGAGACCATCCAGTAACCTAAAAAAGTAAAACTAGGTTAAGTTGGAAACAATACTCGACCAGAGAGAGAACGTTCATTCAAAATACAGAGAAACAGAGAGCACTTACCTGTGGTAATTTTTCAAACTCATTTTCCCAATCATTCCATGGTTCAAAGATTTCCAGGGGAACGTCCAAATCGAAAGTGGTTAACTGATTGAAATTCATGACTTCTTCTCACAATTCATAAATGATTTGCTTGGTAAGGAATGACCATTTTATGTGTTTTGAAACAATAGAAAAAACTGGCAGGTAAAAAATAAACCCTAACATCATCTTACCTGGAAAAAATATGACATCATCATGACCAAGTAGGGACATGATAACACTATTCTATTTATAGAGTATGATGTCAACATTTTTTGATGACGTCAACCCCTAGGGTATTCTGACGTCACTTGCTCCTTGCCAGCTGAAAATAGGCTATGACATCATCCTATGTTAATGGAATGCATGACATCATGGTCATTAATTTAAACTATGACATCATCCTATGTTAATGATATGTATGACGTCACCGGCGTTAATGTATTCCCCCGAAAGTTAATGGCATTCCCCCGCAAAGAAAAGGAGTAACCGGTGCCTTATCCACTACTGACATCCTAGATTTTGCAATGTTGCCCGCTCAGATATTCAGTTTGGCGGGAAACAGTTTCTTTGTTCGATGTCATGTGACCTCAAAGTAATCAATGATAACGCGCGCTGTTGGGAAAAACATTTCCAGCTATATTACAATGCACCTTGTTTACCCCAAAACATTTTGGATAAGCACTGTTTTCGCCTTCTACCCGAAGAAAGTAATATCCCCTCCAAGACAAAGTTTAAACAATTCTTATGCAAAATTTAATTTGTGTGTGTGTGTTTGAGGAGAAAGGTTGAACGAGGTACATTACGGGCAATATAAAAGTGGTGAACTGATAATTTCCATAATTCTTTTATACTCTGGTTAGTACTCTATGTTTGTACACAGCTAGCCTAGGACCAGGCTCTGTAGTGGGGGAAAAAGAAATTAAAACACCTTTACGCGTCTTGTTGTTTCTACTAATACCTACATGTTATAATGACTAAACGCAATAAAGGTTTACCGGACTAAAAACTAAGAAGCGTGGAAGAGGGAAGTATTTGAGCGCGCGAAAATGCCGTGGGCGCTCGCGAGAGCTGGTAGAGGAACACGATAGGACGGGACGGGGCGGGGCGGGGCGAGCAAGTAAGGGCTATAGTTTTTTTAAACCTTAGCAGGATTGACAAATTCAAGTAAAATAGCAGTTGGTCGTTGGTAGTCAAATGACCTCATCGTGAAAATGGCCCAACACTGTATAACTCTGTAACCCCTTCTTTCCATTCTACTAATGACAGCCGACGAAATTCAAAGCACAGGAACATTATAAGCGCTAAAACTAGCCAGGCATACACGCCGCTGTTTCTTCCGTAGGCCCCAACGTGGATTTGGGAATGGCAAGGGTCACAAGACGCGCGTTTACTCTACAGAAAAACTGGGTCGGGACCAGTCCTGAAAAAAGTTGGGCGGCACCGATAACTGTGGCAAAGAAAACTAGAGTTTTTGCAAGGCCAAAGGCACCTGCGACCTGTGAAAACTCGAGTATTTCTTTACAAATGTTGTCGGAGCCGTAACAGTTTTATGACTGGTTCAAACCAAACACTTGTGACAATATTAGCATTGCTGCACATTTGTAAATTCAGCAGTCTTTGAAATTCTCGATCACCAACCTTTGGATGATTGCTAGCCCACTTGGTGTTTACAAGGTGTTACTTAGACAGCCTTGAATCCTGCATTTTTTTAATGAAAACTAACCTTGACTGTTTGCTTTGATGTAAGTGCTTCAGGTGCGCTGTAAATCATAGCTCCAGGAGCCACTGTCATGGTCTGCTGAATGAAATTAGCGGTGCCATAATCTGACACTTTGCCTCTCCATTCCTCACCTTGTCGCCATAGCAACACATTTGCACTGCTGACGTCACGATGAATGATAGGCTCTGGTTTCTTCTGATGAAGGTAGTTCAGGGAACGTGCTACATCCAGAGAAATGGTGCGTATTTCTGTCTCGGAGAGTTGCCGCTGATCCAACAAAGTGCGCAGACTTTTCTCCATCAGCTCGGTTACAAACAGAGGAGTTCCCTCATCTTTTGTGGCGCCGATAAACTGTAGTAAGTGAGGATGGCGGCATTTTGCTGCGATATTCATTTCTCTCTCAAACAGATTAATGTTATGCGGAGAAAGAATCAACTCATGGATCTGTTTCACTGCTACAGTACAGCCACAATACGTTCCCTCATTGACACTTCCCCATCCTCCCCTCCCAAGGCATTTATCTGTGATTTGAATTTCGTCGCGGGTAATAACCCAGTCACGTGTTTCCTGGCTGCGAAATTCATTTATTGTTAGCTGAGCTGTTGAAAGACTTAACTGTAGTTCAGAAACTTGTTCTTGGCAATTTCTCAACTGTCTCTGAGAATTTTGTTCACGTTGCTGAGACTCCGTTAGCTGCCTTTGAGAATTTTGTTCCTGTTCTTGAAGCTCTCTGAGTTGCCGCTGCAAATTTTGTTCACGCTGCTGCGACTCCGTAAGCTGCCTTTGAGCGCTCTGTTCCCGTTCCTGAAGGTCTCTGAACTGTCTTTGTAAATTCTCTTCGCGTTGTTGTGTATCTCTTAACTGCCTCTGGAAATTTTCTTCACGTTGCTGAAAATCCCTCAACTGTCTTTCTAATTCTGAGGTTCGGCTTGTCGAGTTTGCTTCGCGTAGATCTTGCATTTTTTCTGAAAGGATAATTCAAAAAGGATACAAAGCAATCAAAATCACTTGAGTAACATGGGCAAACAGACTACGTTTTACCAGGAGCATATGGTTTTACCTAAAAAAAAACCTTGACTTAACAGAAAATGCACTGCATTTCTTCTCTTGAAAATGAGTGACAACTGTGCATAAACGAAATATTGATGAATAAAATGAAATTTAGAATGGTTTCTTTCGCCCCATTGTTACTTAACATTGCTTGTTTGTTGCTTTTTTGATTATTATTTTCCAATGTTAGACAGGTCGTTACTCGAGAAGGTGCGGAGAGACGAACCGGAGATGTGACAATGTAAAATATAAAACTAAATTCTTCAGCTACATGTATAAAAAACAGTCAAAGTAAAAACTTAGTCACTTCTATACCGATAAAAGTTACATGCACTGGAAAAGTGGCTAAGAGAAACTTTTTATGTTGCATTCCTTATTGCAAGGCACAAAAGAGGTGTAAAAAAACAGACATTTATGTCTTTTACGCAGACTGAAAAAAAAGCGAATCGTGAATATATATCCTATCCTGCGGTGAAGGAGGACATTTCACTTTAGGGGAGGGGTAGGTGGGCAGTTTCCCATGGCCAGAGACGTATAATGATCCGATAAATCTTAGTCAAAATTTAGTAATCCGGGACTATATACCGGCTGTGTTTTGACCAGAATCTAAAGCCATGAAATGTCACGTTGACTATAAGAACAAGCATGTAGGAACCAGCGTGATATACCCTATAAAAAAAGCCGTGGTGTTTCTTAATTTTAAGATAGAATTGTAGTAGTCCGGATGGTGTAGACTAGCCCTAGCCACAAGTTGCTCGGCAACTTTTTGGAGAAACATTTAGTTTTTGGGGCAACTTGATTAAATTTTAAGCAACATAAGGCAATTAAACAGTCCTATGATACTGTTTAAGCCTTGTTATATATCCTTATAAGGACATTTCAGTTCTTTAATGTTATAATTATAGATATCATTTAACAACGTGAAAATCGAAATTTGTGCCCCATCCCCCACCCCTCAGCCACCTAACACCCACCCCTGCTTCTCAGTTACACTACCCGCGATTTGGGGTCAGCCGTTCGTGCCTTTTTCAAAATGATGGCAAACATTGAATCTTCAGTTAGTTTAGAGAAAGAAAATTCTAACTCTCTAACTCTGACTACTATCAGCGAAGCCAAAAAGCTCGATGCAAATCTAAGTAAGCCTGAAAACGCTGCAATAGCTAGAAAACCAAAGAGAACAAAGATACGGATCTCATGAAGGAATTTCGACTCACAGCATTCTTTTTCACACGATACTGACTGATTTATGCGACCATTACGAATTTTTTTCCTTTATTGTAACTATTTGGTGTTATATAATTGTCATGAACTATTTCTCGGCAATCACGTGTAAAGTAAAATCACTTAATTAAGTACTCTTATTGCGCAGGAAAACGAAAGACATTCCACAGTTGTACGTTTGAATGTCACCTGTAGCAGTTGTGTTTACAAACAGGGCAAAGAAGCAAGTAGTTTTGAATTGCATTATTGTAATTCACTAGCGGCGTTTGTCTTAAAAACGCGAAAATGGCTGTCACTCATGTCATTTCGATTTTACTTAAGAAGCAACTTTTTGTAAAATTCAAGCAACTTCAAGCACCTTTTTCGACATTTTGGAGCAACATGTGGTTAGGGCCAGTGTAGACTACCAGTTGTACCGAGTGTTTTTGTAATCCTCGAATAAACGCCGCATTCCTCTGGTTGTGTGCGGCGATTATTCGAGAACAGCGTTAATTGAACGTTTATTCCAGGGCAGCGTTACATGTAATCGACTAAACACGGTAAGCCTATTGAAAGAACAGGTATAGAAGGGGTAAAAAAATAGTTTTTCTTAGACCCATCTCGTTTGGTAAGTTTAATTGCTCGACTATTTACCCTTCCGAAAGTGTGCAAAGAAATATTCAAAGATTTTTCAATTCAATAAAGCGCAATAATTTTTGCATCGAACACCTTGATATGGCGGGTCTCGTGACAATCCTTAAAAAGGAGGCTTACACGCTCACGCTTGCCAGGTTTTCCTTTTCTTAACAGCTTTATTTGTTACATTTTGCTTTGTAACATTTCGCGCAAAAGAAGTTATTACGTTTTGCGCTAAAAATTTGTGACACTTTGCGTTATGTAATTCCTACATTTTGTTCAGAAAGCTGTTTTAAAATGCTTAATGTCATTACATTTTGCGTTAATTCTATGAATTATAATATTTTGCAGCGTAACGGACACGGAAAGGCCTAAAGTAGACCAAATTTAAAAGCGTTCAGAACGCGATTTTGTTTAACACCGTTTATAATTGAAACTCTGCTTTTATAACTGGCTCATCATTGTGTCTGAAAATTTCACTTAAAACTTTTAATAATTACAGCCCCGTTACCCTTGCACATGAACAGAGGTTTAACCATATGTCTTTAAATTCAAACATCAAAACCTACAGACTATTTAACTTCTGACATCAACAACTTGGGCTGCCTGTATCATTGCCTGACTACCTGTACAGGTTTAACCAATATGCCTTCAAATTCAAAAACCAAAACCAAAACTAACTAGTCACACCATAAGCTTGGGATGCCTGTATCCATACATATGTACGGATTTTATCATAATTCAAAAACCAAAACCTAACTACTTACTGACACCATAAGCTTGGGCTGCCTGCATCTTTGTCTGACTGCACCTGTAGGGCTTTATAACAACCAAACTAACTCCTGAACTCTCACCATAAGCTTGATCTGCCTGTATCTATACACTACATCACGTACAGCTAGAGGTTCAACCATGCGCCTCTTTGTTCAAAAACCAAAATCAAAAAAAGTATTGGAAATTACATTTCATACTCTTAGTCTTACCTTTGATAGAGGCGGGTAACTTTTCGATAAAAAGCTGAAGCTCATTTGGATCAGCATCTTTCAGTTGAACAGTATTTCTTCTTCCACCAACCCAGAACGGTAGTTCACTAATTGTAACTGTATCATTGGTGACCTTCATTGTAGTTTCAGGAATGATACGAAACTGAAACGGTAAGGAAAGATAATTATATAAATTAAGTTTTACAGTCAAACCTGTATTAAGCGGTCATCCTTGGGAATGGCTTACTCACCGCTTAATACAGGTTGTCGGGTTTGCAAACCTAAGTGTTAGTCATGGAAATGAAGATGGTGAAAGAGCGAAATATCTATCCCACAACAAATTGACCTCAAACTGTTAGTAGCCTTCTTGTGCCAAAATAAAGGAAGTAAAAGCAGACTTGTCAAGTCTCACGACTTTGTCATGAGTTTCACGATTTTAGGACCTGTCTCACACTCTCACGAGTTGGCAACTGATTTCTCACGCTTTCTCGAAAAGTCAAACTCCAAACAATTTTGGAGCTGTAGGGTCGTTTCTAAGTTAGATATCAATAGAAAGCCAGCTCAACTCAAAGAAAACGGTAATAGAATGTAATCAAACGCGACTATTCTTTTAGCCTACCGCGCAACTTGCCGCTGCCACCAAATGTGCAGACTTACTGTTTCTCTTGTCTCAAGGTGGCGCCAATAAAACATACAAATTACAAAAACTAAATCGTAAAATTGATTGTGATGTTTACTGTTCCAGCTTTAAAGTGATATGGTGATTTCCAAAACCCATAATCTCCACTGAACGTCCTCCACTGGGACATTTGGGACACCTCACGACTTTTTAGCCATTTCTCACTACTTTTCCCTGCTCTAGGTTCAGAATCTCACATTTTTACCTTTCGGGGCTTGGTAAGTCTGTAAAAGACCACTAAACGCCCTACAGAGTGTATCCTTTTGCACTAGTATGGCACAACTTGACAAAGGGACAGTTTAATGGAGGGGAAGACAATAAAAAATTACTCATTGGGACCTCGAAAACAGGTGACCACGTCTGCTCAATAGAGGTACGGTAACTGCTAAATACAGATCAGTTTTCACAATAATCAAGGGAACCTATTTCCAGGACTTTGGTGACCGCGTAATACAGGTTTGACTGGGTTAATTATAGAGGCAGTTACAGTAAACATCCGCTAATAAGAACCTTGGATAAGAATCTCTTGGCAGACAATTGCCACTTTAATACCCAGAAATACAAGAACCTGTTTAGCCAAGCAAAATCAAGCAGGTTCTTATATGTGGGTTACAGCTAAATTATGACAAACAATTTAACAAAGGAGTGTAACTTTGAGTTGTAAATTTAAATACAACAAAAACATACTGTACTATGAAACTATACATAAATTCGGTAATCAGTTTTGTTAGGGTTATAATAACACAATTGTTAATAAGTAAAAAGCTTATTTATTTTTCTGGTAATCGACAATCTATTATTTCCTTCATAAAAATTAACAACCTACTTAGCCTAAATTGCCCATAAGGTACCCCAAATTACAAGAACTTATAATTTATTTGCTAGACTTCAGAAAAGAAGATTCTCATTTCTGCTGCGGGTGTTTACTGTACCGCAAAATAACAACTGAATACAATTACACCGTCCATTTAACCGAGATTTCACTAGTACCACAATGATATGAAGCGTCTATTCAGGGGACACCCTCAGGACCAAAGCAAGTGTCCCTTGAATAGAGGTTCCCCCTGATTAGAGGTTGGGCTGGAGTTTGTTAACAATTAACCAACAAAGACAGCATAAAAAAATCATCATTAGGGACTTTAAGATGCCACAAGGGCGACGACAAACAAAACATCAAAAAGGCAGTAGGCTGAAATGAATAGGCAAAGCAACAACTCTGGATGTGCATCACGCATTTTGTACATTTTTTTGCCATCACTGCATGACTACGACAGGGAAATGCCAAATTTTACGTCTTATGGAGGACCTAAAGAAGCGACGGCTAAATTATCTTTCTCTTCCTCAGGGGTGTAGCTAGGGTGTGGTCCCCTTTGTGAGATAATTGTTTTATGTCCCTATAATTCAGGTGGCCAAAACGCGCGAATCTGAAGAATCAACATGCGATAAATCTTTTCCAGTGCTACATTTGTTACTTACTCCATTTGCAGGACCGAACATCTGTAATGGACCATGCTCTTGTTCGTAACTAAAAGAGAGTAATTTATGCTAGGTAGAACTTAATTAATCTATGCAGCTATTTTGTAGGCTCGTCCCTCCCCCCACCGCTCGCTGCCCATCCGCAAAAAAAAAATGTCACTTTTAGTAAAACACGGCCTGGATATCGATATGCCAAACTGGTAAGTACTCTGGGTTTGACACAGAGTCAAACCCTCCCCCCGCCTCCCCCCCCGCCCCCCTTCAAAAATCCTAGCTACGCCCCTGTTCCTGAACTTAAATATGATTCTTAGGAATTCGGCTCAAAAACTCAAAAAGGCTTCGCTTACATTTGGCAAAGTAAATGAGTTGGAGAAATGAGTTGGAGTAATCGCGATAGAGACTGCAAGAATGGAAATTTACTTTTTAGGCGACGTTTTCGTGGCCGTCACCGTCGTGGTATCTTTAACTCCCTATTGTTTTATTTATTTTGTTTTTATTTTCTATTTTTATATAATTTAATTTACTTTTTTTAATAGGTAACACCTGTACAGAAATGGTAATACTGAATAAACCTGTTGTGGTTTCTGCTATAATTATATGTTGAATTCACTCAAGTGCATTTCATTGATTTGTGTGAGATAGTTCAGTTTGTGAAAGCTTCCATTTTTTTATTAGTGTGCACTTAATGATATCAGCCCTCTTTGAGGTCAATGACTTTCTGAGTGCTGAGGTGTTCCCTGCGGTAATGGACATTGAAATAGACCCAGGTTTCTGGACCCAGAAAAAGACTCCCTTTCCTCTGAGCAGAGGTCACTTGTCCCTTCAATAGAGTTAATAGATACAAAGATTATGTGCACATTTTCTGCGACCAAATTTTTTGTCCCCTGAATGGAGGTGTCCCAAAGGAAAGGATGATCAATTACACTATTTGCTCAATTTTAAAAACCAACATGGATGAGGTTGTTAGCATATAATATATACTGGTTGGGGTAATGGCTCAACATTTTGATTCTTTTTTAAGTCCAATATACAATTTTTTGAAACCTACTAAATTTTTCTAAGTTAATATAATATCAGAGTGCAATGAACACACTTGGGCCGGCGGCACTTTGAGATTTAAAGAGATATCTTGTTTTTGACAGGCAACTATAAACTGTCCTTGTGAACATGACTTGTGACTTGCGGACCCCTCTAGGAGGCTTGTCGCCTTTGGCTACGCAGGACTTCTCCCCCAAATGATAAATCCTAGATAGAACCCTGTAAACTATTAGAAAAAGGGATGGAAACACCATCATCACTTGTCATCGATCTACTGACAAGCATAAGCAACTGTTATTACTGCAGGGAAATACACAAAGAAGGCTGTCAGTCAAGTCCCTGACAACAAAAATTATTAGTTCCTTCCCATGTACCTCCCAACCTAGATCTCTCCATCTGGTCCATCTCCATAAACCTGATCACGAGTTATTATAAATTTTTTCTGTCTTCTCTGGGACACTGGGTTAGTGGGGTTTAATTGGAATCTTTTGCATAATTTATTCCATTTTGACAATGGCATGCAATACATACACAGGGTGCAAAGAAAATCATTTTTACAGCTTGCCATTCGGGAAAGTTGAAGCTAGCATTTACTAGCCCAGACGTCATTTTAACTATAGCCCCAAAAACTTTTTGACTAGCAGAATTGATTTCACAGTTCTTCTGTTTTTAACTTGCCCAATGGGCAAGTTAAAAACAGAATTCACTAGCCCGATAGCAAAATCCACTAGCCCCGGGCTATCGGACACTACTTTCTTTGCACGCTGCATACATGTACATGTACATTTTGTATTATTTGCTGTATGCTGGAATTGGTTTTTGGTCTCTAAATAAGTTATCAAAAATGAACAAATCTCTCATGAACTCATCTTACCAGCATCTTGCCAGGGGTGGATCCAGAAAATTCAGAAAAGGGTGGCTGGGACACTTGCCCACTTGCCAGCTATATAGAAACGTTTTATTATTCCGAGAGTTCTATAAAAATAATACAAAATAATTTCAAGGAAAAAAGGCCCCCTTTGGCCCACCCCTAAATCCGACCTTACTGTTGCTTAATGTTACAGCTCCTTTGTTACTGAGAAGAAGCTGTTAGGTGCCTGAATCAGGGCGAGATGAAAATTAAAACTCATTGCCCTTTGGGCAAACTGTTGCTGAAGTTTAGCAGCCATGGTACAGCATTCATGCTGGTCAACCAACCCCTTCTCTGTAGCATTTCAGATTACTCTTTATCTTGGCAAATGCTGCTTACTCAATTGACACCTCATGAGTTGCTTCACTAGCCCTGGGCTATCAGATAGCACTTTTGTTGCACCCTGTTAATGGTGTGCCAAATTGGTGACAGAGTGTTGAAAAAATTTGTGAAAAATTGTGTTTTGATGAATTTGTACTTTAAAAAACTACGAAATCCGTAGATTAAATAAAAATACAAAATACACTGTATGCCATTGGCCAACTTAATTAATCCATAAGGTTAAGTCACAACAATTATAATTTTAAAACATCTACAAAACAAACTTGAATGTTAAATGTGTCTGCTACTCAGCTTTTGAAACATCACGTACAATTCTTTCTAACTTTCTAAACTTGTAAATTGCTATACCATAAATTTTCAATTGATCTATTAAAATCTCATTCTACAAAAATCACGTAAATTAACAACACTGTACCCTCCTAAATGCAAATTTCTGACTCCCTTTAAATGGCAAAACAAAAGGGACAAAATATTTTCAGCAATCTGTTCAAGATGCAAGAATAATTCAAGCTGAAAATAATAATATTAGCCTCACTGAGTTTTCAAATAACAAAATATTCATGATTTTTCATGTCTTCGTTAATGATGAAAGTTTCATTTTTATTTGCACTTACACTGTAGGTGTAAAAAGTACCACTTAACAACACAGCAACATTTTCGTAATAACCGGTAGTTTCACTATATACAAATTTATGTACGTGGGTTTTTCCATATGTCATGACACTGCACCCCTTGAGATCAAAATAGAGAGCTGTAGCAACAACAACTGCAACAGCAATAAAGACATCAAAAAAGCAAAATACATTAATTTTATACTTCTCCTAGGCCAAACAAGAAGACACACTTTTTTGACATCACTGCATATATAAAAGCCACATAAAATTCCCTCTGTTAGTGGACTTTTTATGGAGGACGTAAACACACCAAAAATGGATTTCTCTTTCTCCTACTAAACTACAGTCATACCTCTCGGCACGGACACCTCTCCTATGTTACGGACAGTTTCCAATGTCCTGACAAAATTCTCCTATATTGACCTTAAAAATATACTTCTATAATATGGACTCTCTCTAATACGGACAACGGACACTAAATTTTGGCCCCAGAGAGTAAATTCAATATAAACTTAACCTCTTTATTACGGACACTCTAGTAATCAGGTGAATTCCGAATCTCGATCAGGTGAATTTGCACGGGTAAATCCCATCTAGTCTGGCTGATGAGCTATGCAAGGTGACTTCAAAAGCCCAGTCGCTGTATACCAAACAACTTTTTGAAGGCTTCAACAACTACAGATACCATGAAGATCTTTTCCATTACATTTTGTACTCTAGTTACTGTTTACTACTTGCAAAATAGCGAAAGGCGCTTTCAGAATTGTGCTTTACGTTACAACTTTTTACATCCAGCATTGTGCTGTAGCTCTTTTGATCTTAAAACAGTGATATGTCTACGACTGTACATATGTAGCTGATATGTACAATTTTGTATGCTACTGAAAGACAGTGTCTTAGTACTGTGAATTAATAAACTTCAATGAGCTTCAATGCAGTTTCAAGACAAGTGTAAACCTAGTTTTAGCTAGTGAACACTTAAAACTGTAAGACTGTAGTGGAGTCACAATTTAAGTGATGTCATCGTAGTGACTTCTTTTGTATGGACACCTCTCTAATTCGGACACTTCCCCCGCTCTGTCCCTTCGGTGTCCGTATTAGAGAGGTGCAACTGTAATGGGTTCGATTCCAAGAAATCAATTTCAAGAAACTTAACCTACTCTCTGACATTTAAAGCAACTGAGTTGAAATAATATTGCAAAGAAAGTTTAAAAACCACTTCTACCACAAAACATCTTAAAAACAAGGGTTATTTGTTGCCTGACTCACAACTTACAGTTGACTGTGATTGAGTAAACTGTAATGTGTAGTTCCAGAAAACATCCATAATACCCCCCCGACCAACCCCACCCCTTTGCAGGGCACTTTTACTTTAGACCACCCAGACCCCTATAATTTCCATTCTAGGGGATGCTTGTCATACACACCACGCCACAGAATTTTCTGTTATCTAACTTAGTTGAGACCCCCCTGAAGAGAATATTTATTTCATCAAAAATGCTGTTGCACTATACTTTTATGTGAAAGATAATTGCATGTTTTCTGCGATAAAGAGAGGAAAAATCTTTTTACTCATCTTAAAACAGTGTCTTATGTTCTCAGTTTTGCCTTGCATGTAAAGGTCTTTCTTTGTTCATTACTAACAGTGAGTAGAGGTGTATGTCACAGAAAACCAAGGACACAATACCTTATGAGAGACATAATAAACTGGACAAAACTGTTCTGGATTGACGTTTTATCATACAAAAATAAAACAAGCCATTATAAGGACCCTTAATGATATTTTTGTCCTTTAAAACAATATTAAATTCCACATGTAATGGAATAATTATTTTCATGTTGATCACACAAGAAGGAATTGCGTTACGGCGTATCAAACCTTGGTAACAAAATCACCAAGGTACACAAAATCATGTAATTTTTAAGAAAAACAAATCACATGTTTTTCGATGAAAAAGAAGTGTTGTCATGTTAGAATGTTGTCTCCAAATAAATCTTGCTGCAAAGATAACTTGGATCGAGTCATTTATGTGCAGCAGCATAATTATCCTTTGATAAATCAGCAGTTAAGAGAGTCAAAAAAGATTCAAGCTGCGATACATATATACATGTATATGCTACCACTGAAGGGCCACGAGGCAAATCCACAGAGTTGTTTGAATCAAGCTGTTGTGCAACACAACGTGAGACTAAATGGCAAGCCCCTGAGAGAAAAGCCAAGAAATATAGTCCAGCAACTATTAGAGAGGCCCACATAGCAGTGTCAGAAGTTCTTGGCCGACTATGCTTTAACACAGCAGCATTTTTGTGAAATGTAAAGCAATGAGCTGGATGACCAGCATTATTCATGAGCCGATATGACATTCATATTAGATATGTAGACTATATCATACAGGTTAAAGCTGTGAAAAAAGCATTCAGCTATAACTGTTAAATGTATGATCATCAATAAAAACAATAATTCTTGTTTCATTCAAAGTCCCTGGAAAAAAGACCTTGAGAATCTGACCCCACCCCCCTTGGAAATTGCCTTCTCTTGGACCCCCTTCCCACTGGAATTTCTGATGCCCTCCGTGGGGGGAAGTATAAACCGCATCCTGGTGTGGAAGGTAACAGTTTCAATTTTCTCATGAACCTATGCAGGTATACATGTAATAGCTACTGGAGTCACTGCAAGTTTTTCTTTAAACTTTTTAAACAGTTTTAATATTGTTGTTAAATGTACATGTATTTTCTGCTGACACTAAACATGACACTAAACATTATAACCTCAGTGAATTGGTAATGATCAAATGTAAACAAAGCACTGGTTTATTCATTAAAAGTTCTTACATATCAAGTGAACTCACTCACTTCAATTCCTCATGAACCTATTGTTGTGGTGCATAAAGCTACCGTGGTGGCCATCTCACTTGAAGTCTAACAAAATAGGTTCTTGTATTTTGATGAGGTACTTAATGGCAATTTAGGCTAGTAGGTTCTTAATTAGGTTCTTAGTTTTTACGTATGAAGGAGATAGATTGTTGATTTAAAATCACAAAAATAAATTTTAAACTTTTTAAAGTTATTCATAATAATTGTATTATGTCATATAACCCTAACAAAACTGATGACCAAATTTCTTGTTGGTCTCAATTGCAGATTCAGAATCTGTAAGCCATGTTTTGTTCCTTGTATTTAGTCCACAAAAGGGAAGACATGGTCCCTGCAGGGTTGAACATAGCGGAGACCATGGACACTGGGGATATAATGAATTGTGGCATGACTCAGGAGCTCGCCACGAATGTTTTGTGAAGAAAGCTTAGGAAAAGTTAATGCAAAAGATTTAGAGCTTTTCCGGAATAGGTTGTTCCACGAATTCTATTGCTTAAAAGTGGTGATTACTTTGGAACAAGTGGTCAAGTAAAAGAAGAATCTTAATGAGCAAAACTTCTATCAATGGGGCAGATGGTGAGGCTAACTGGTCGGGTGTTGTAAACTTTCATTGTTTCATTTTCAGCGATGAACTAAATGACATGCCATGTTCATCTTTTTTTTTGCTCTCTCATACTCGAATCTAGGCCCTTAATTTTTGTGTATTTATGCACATGTATTCAATCAATTCAGAAACAAATTGTCAAATACCATATATAAAATAAAATATCTTGAAGAATACTTGACTGTCGATAAAGTAGGAAGTCAAAAACTTGTCACAAGAAAATCCTGCTTCATGTAGATGTAATTACCTCCTCATTTCTTGAGCAAGCAAGACTTATGATTATATACTTAAAAAATAACTCATAGGTAGCCCCCTTTTTACCACTGATAGTTACCTCCCTTTGTTAAATTGTTCATCATAATTTAAGCTTACATGTAACTTGCAATGATGATCTTCTTAGGCTTAACTTGCTTCACAATATCATGTTTGAATCCCGCAGTCGCAAGGACATATGTGAGCATTTTTGATTGGCTCGTTTGTTACACAGTTTAATGTGATTAGCCTGATTTGAATTGAGCATTGACAGGCCAAACACAACTAATATATATAATATATAGCTTGTGAGAGGGGAGACTGAGCTTTTGATAGTGCAATTAACGTGACCGATGAGCCAGCTTGAACAAGAGTGGTTTTTCTTGCTCTCTTTTTGTGTTTATGCAGTCCATGGAGTATTCTACACTGAGCAAATTTTATTTTACCACTTTGAGTGTCACATTTAGAGGTTGAGGAAGCTAGTCTGTTCCATGCATATTGAGCAATTAGTTCCTATGGTTTATGTTTCTGCAGATGTTTTCTGACAGGATTTGATCACAATTTATGCAGTTTACCACGAAATGATTTTCTTTTACCTCTGTGTAATATGGCAGCCCACAAGGGACATGCTGTAAATAAAACGTTGCTGCAAAACAAATGAAGTTGCTGGAAATAAAAAATAATTGCAGCGAACAAAAAAAATATCTCCTGCAAAAAAAAGCAGTTGCTGCAAATTAAGTGACAGGAAATTATGCGCAAGCACTGATGGGAAGAGGAAGACTCAGTATAGTTGTATCCAGGGCCCACTCACAAAATGCTTGGCCTAATCCTCAGTGACAGGAACCTTAGTTGAGTTCAATGGAAACAATTATCGTCAAACCAATGGAGTTGCATTAGGCATAAAAACAGCGGTGTCCTTTGCAAATATCTACAAGGCGGAGACTGAAACAAACCTAATCCAACATAGAAATACCGATGGAAATGTTTCATTGGTGACGTTTCCTTTCTTTGAGACTGTAACAGAAAAGACCCAACTTTTTCTTAAAGAAACGAACAAATCCCATCCCAAAAATGAAGTCCACGGCCGAAATATGAAATAACGAAATAACTTTCCTTGATACAACAGTTTTCAAAGGAGAACATCTCACAGAGAAATCCATCTTCATTGGACATTAAATCCTACTATAAGCCGCCTAAAACCTTTCAATAAGTACACTTTACCTCATTCCACCCTTTGGGGGGAAAAAAGAAGTTTCATTAAAGGCGAAGAAATAAGATTGATTAGAAAAAACTCCTCAAAAAAAAACATTTGAAGAGTGCCTTGTGAACTCGAAGCACACAAAATCCTAAGCCGGATATAGAAAGGTCGTTGTCAGGGGTCGACCTTGACTCGAGACACTGATAGGAGCTAAAACATAAACAAAAAAAATAAAGAGAGACTATTACCTTTCATTACAACATATAACCCAACGGTACAAGACCTTAAAAAGACGTTGATGGCAAACTGGAGTCTACAGGCCTAATAATAAATCAGCCTCTGCAGTGCTGAAAACAGGTTAAGACCTCCGATCATATCCTACAAAAGACATGCTTGAGTGCAAAAATGTAACTTGAAGGCAGTTGATAATTCAACGCAACCACAAAAACCACATTGGGAGTCCTTGCAGGTCTGCCTTTAACTTCCTTACAACTATACTGAGTCCTCCTCTTCCCATCAATGCGTGTGCATACTTTCCTGTCACTTAATTTGCAGCAACTGCTTTTATTTGCAGCAACTATTTTTATTATTTGCTGCAATTATTTTTTATTTGCAGCAACTTTATTTAACTTGCAGCAACTTTAGAGAACGCGTCCCAATATCGGTAGGGAACAAATATATAGCAATATTGTTTCTGCATGTTGTGTTTCGAGTTTGTTGATTTGATGCGTGCCTATACACGTGATTTTCGGCGTTTTGCAGAGGTATTTCCTTCAGTCGATCGCAAACACCACGCTGCTTCATAACATTTATTCTATGAAAATTAGAAGGAGCTAAATATTACGACGCAAAACACCACTGTTCTTCGCTGATATATAGCAAACAAAACACCATACTGAGTAGTGTGTTCTTTACTCGATACTAATTTCTAACAATGCAATCCAAAAACACAACCGGAACTCACTTTCTGGAAACACAGCTGGATTCATAGACTTGTTACAAGAAGAGCTCAACGGGTTTCCTAGTGAGCGGAGCGAGAGCAAAACCATGGATAATGTAAAACCACGGGATAAACTTTTACGAAAATTTGCGTCTTTCATTCAACGATCCTAAACGCAAGGTGTAATGCGATCTGAGGCAAAAAATACCGACCAATTAGATTGCGGCCTCACATTGTCTCCAGGGAATTGGCAACAGGAACTGAAAGATTCCCACACTCGCGGGTCACGGAAGACACAGAACGAAGTTTCATACAGGCCCGGCATACAGGAGCTACCAAAGAGAGAATGGCTTAGCGACTTTGCTGTATGTTCTGTGAGCTTGAGCATGGTGCCACGTGAAATTGCTTTCCTCTCTCAGCACTTAGAAAAATTTGCGCTTGACTCTAGGTGGCTGACTGTTTGACAAAAATCAGAACCTATTTTACCGGAGTGTTCAACTAAAGCAAACTGGCATACATCCGGTAAGTTCGACTCAATTTAATAGCGGAAAGACAATCGAGAAAGAGAAAACCAGTTGAACGCCTCCATCAGTCACTTTTTTGAGTTCATATGCAACCAATAAACAACTTGCAGCTTGATTCTCAAACGATGTCCTCTTCTCTCCTGTGGCAATTTAGCAGTTGTACACAACATGGTAACAACATTTGCATTTTGGTCGTGGATGTTCTGACTTCTATTTTTTTCGTTTACAGTCCTAAACTGTTTATTCCTCCAAAGATTCCTATAATCATGCGTTTTGGCTTCCGGTTAGCAAAGGCTCAAGCTATTTTAAAATTATCATTTTTTAAAATTATCACATCGTACACTTGCAATGTACATTGCGCCGTCTTTCACTCAAAAGATGCCTGTTGTTTCTTCTCGTGCCCATTTTGATACACAAATTTAATATTTTCTGTTCATACTCTGTCATAGGAAATAAAACAAATGTTCGAAACCGTGACGTTAAATTTTGGTTCAAACAAGACACATTTATAAGAAAGATAAGGTTATAAAAAACAACATTCACGCTTTTGCTTTTGCTTTTGTGACGGGTTATTTGAGCTGCCAGATATTTTTGATGACCTTTGTTAATTGGCCCGATAAAGACTTGAGACCCGTTGCCGATTCCCTTTCATTCGGTGCCGATAAAATCGGGTCCGACCTTCAACGGAATCGGAAAAAATCGGTGCCCAATTGATCGGCATCGGTATGACCCGACGCCGATATTTGGACGCGTTCCCTTATTTTATTTGCTGCAACTTTATTTAATTTGCAGCAACTTTATTTTATTTGCAGCAATTTTATTTAATTTGCAGCAACTTTTTTATTTGCAGGATGTCCCCTGTGGGCCACCGTACTTCAAGCCTTACGCTTTTTTCTTGTGGCGAAATAACCTTAGTTTCTTTGGTTTCTCTAAAATGCCTGGACCTGGATAGCCACATGTAGTAGGTTTTATTTTTGGCTGTGAAGATAATGATTTCCTGAATTTTTTTTTGGATGCTAGAAGTCTAGAACTGTCGGCTAGATTGCAGAATATGCGACAGTGCATCTGCAGTGATTGAAAGATGCTGGAAAACCAGTGGGCAAATTTATACAAGCAAATTCTTATAAAAAAATCACAAGGAATTCTCTCAAAGTATTTTTTTGTGAAGGCTTTAAAGTTTGAACTGCTCTTTTATTATTTTCTGTAAACTGCAAACGATCATTGCCAACTCCCTTCTGTGAATTTTGACATGTCACTGTGCCTTTTAATATTGGCATGCGCACGCGAAGAATTAGGCCAATCATGAGGCGCATAACATTAACGTTAACCCGCAAGAAACCTACCTATCACAAACACTCACATATGTCTTTGCGACTCTGCAGGATGTTAGAATGAACTTTTATGCACTTGTTCGCAAATGGACTATACAAATGGTTTAGACGAGTGTGTGGGCTGGCTGCAACATAGGCTAGGCTAAACAGGTTCTTGTATTTTTGCATGGGTATTAAAGTGGCAAATTTCTGCCAGAAGGTTCTTAATCCACAGTTTCTTATTGGTGGGTGTTTACTGTATTTAAATGTTTAATGAAGAACAAAGCATATAAAATAATAAATGGATATGTTGTAGTTAAGTTTTTATGTCAGGTAATTTTTATTTTTCTTTTGTTTCAACTTTATTAGCATACATTACCATACCCAAAAACAAAAGAAAAACAAAAAATTACATGAACCGGAAAATTACAACAGATACATTAAGGTGACTGCATAAACACATAAATAAGCTAATTTTTTAAATATAAAGGGTTTAATATAAATAATTGTTAAATTGTACATAGTTAAAACCCTATCACTCCCAGAGTCAATTATGGAACGACAACATTTAGTTCTTACTCTTGAGCCCCTGGACGAAACCCCTTTATCAGTACTCTCACATGGTACTATTTGTTTTCAGTATTGGACGAAAAGAAATTTCGACTTCTTCGTTAATAACGTTTTGATTTTGTCAGAGCACTTTTGGAAGTGAAGAGTAAAAACATCAATAACTTTACATACCGGCATGTCGACTCCCGCTGTCTTGCTGGCATAAAGGCAGTATTTGTTATCCCTCTCACGACACCAAAGTTGAAGCTCTCCTGCCGCATCATTTTCCTTACTCCCCCATGACACTCTTCCATGTGCCACACAAATTAGCTGTGTAAAGCCCAACTGACTGAGATGACTGAGCCAGAACTCCATTTTGTTTATTGGAAGAGCACCTCGTCCCCAGGCTCTCATGCTAATGAAAATCGCACCTGCCGCAAGGACTTATGGGCTGCATTTGTGCTCTGCAGTGTTTATCTTCTTTCGTTTGTTTTATTTGAGGGTCTCAATGGGGTTAACCGATAGGCGTAAAACTGCCAAAAATTTAGCCGATAGCCGTAAAAATTTAAAAAATTTAACCGTTAGCCGTAAATAGCGTAAAAAAGAGTTCACCGTAAAAGAAAGTGTTCCCTAGATTTGCTACTTTTTAGGAAGGTACTAAACTCACTTATGGTTGCGTTTTTTATTTCCCGGCTAGTGTGACTCCGTACGCACGTTAGGCGAAGCGCCTTTTAGGTGTTAACCAAGACCTAGGCTCCATTTCCGGCGCTTTCTTGGGGAACTAATTTTTTCCATAGCGAAAGTGTGGCTTCTTGCTGGGGATTAATATTGAGAATATTTGCAATTTTCAGGAGGCCGTGCCCTCAAAACAGTAGTGAAACAACACGCAGAGATGTCAGTGTTTGTAAAACACGTTGCCGATAAACAACATTTCCCTGTTTTTCTCGGACGCTACGGTAGACATCGCCATGCCTAGTCCCTGTTCGGCGTCTTCCCACGCAATCTCGGTCAAGGCATTTCAGTGGCGAACTCGCTCGGACCACATGACCCGAAAGCCATCAGCCGCGCGGAATAATGCGGCTTAGGACAAGGCAACGGCAAGACAGTCGTTCCGTACAGTCCTTCGCTATCATTAGAAACACTGGACACGGGAATTTTGTTATTGGCCGTTTTCACGCTAGACCTAGAAATGGATCATCCGTCTGAGACTAGCCTGTGTACAGTCGCGCCCTCCCCACAGACACCCCTTCTCCGATTTTTTTCTGAGGGGAGGGGGCGGTTGAACACAGGCTATCTGGAATGGATAATCCTGTCTTCAAAAGTCCGGCGAATTGTTTATTCAAAATTAAAACTATTCCATTGCCAAATTAAGACGTATCATCTATCTGACGCGAATCATCAAACGGATAACCCGTCTCACACGAACAATCCTTCTCTGGTGTGAAACGGCCATTTCTGTTATAATGAATGTCGCGCCCCGGCCTTGAGTTGGCGTTCGCGTGTCTGCTTTTGCTTTTTCACAAAGATTATGTTTAAATTGACTATTGACATTTCTATGTGTAAAATAATATCAGAAGTGCAAAACTTTATAAAAAGTATGGTCTATCAAATGTTAAAATTTTTCAAAAGAATAGCTTATTTCATCCCGAGATGATCCGAAGACCTTTATTTTGATTTAAAGATACAAAAAAAATACAGGTTAATTAATATTTAACTTTTTGAAAAAAAAGAAGTTAATTTTTAACTTTTTCGTTAACCGTAACTGAAAAAAATTAACCGATAGCTGTAAAAGAGCCAAAATTTTAGCCGATAACCGTAAAAGCCACCACCCCATTGAGACCCTCTTATTTCCCATGTGGGGGAAAGAAAACTCAGACAAGATCAACAAAATGCACATTCAAGGTGACGTTTTTCATCTTCCTCAAAATGCTTAATGTTTGAAAACGATGGTCTGTGTTCAAGTAAAATTATGCTGACAAATACAGGCAAATAGAGAAATTCTCAGTGTGACTGAATGGAGAGGCAAACACTTAAAAAAAGCGTAAACCCGGCACATAAAAATATGTGACAGGGAATTTTCCCAGCCACGATTTTCTCTTTTCATTTTTTTATAAGTGCGATGTCGCCACCGGGATTACTACTCTCTGTTTAACCTGTCGGACCTGCTTCACTTTTTGAAGATTTTCTCTTTTGCAGTTCGCTCGTTTCGCCTTACCCAGGCGAAAATGGTCTACGGCGCAAGCGAAACGAAAAATACTGCCTAAGTGTAGGTTATGTTCTCGTCCGATGCTTGCTGTTTTAGGAACGGACAGTTAAAACAATTTAATGATGGAGAGGGATGGGGAAAGCAAAAACATTTTATACAGGTCAAAACGCTTGAAAAAATTCATCCAAAGCACAATGAAAACAAAAAGAAAACTCCCGAAAATCCAACCCCTTACCCTTTTATATACCATTTTTGACAAAAAAGGTCCCCTTTCGCATACCTTCTATCAGTGACAAATGGTGCCTCTTCCACATATAATTGTTTATATTGTTTATAGAACTTTGTATCCCTTTTGACTGCTGTAAATGCACTTTTTACATAGAATAGCCTGTACACCGACGTTGTTTTATTTTTCTTTTTGTTCCTACTTCCTTGCACTGGTGGTCAATAAATCCCCTGCGGTTTACATTTTATCACCCGCGCTCGACGGACTTTTGAAGAGGAAGTAGAGAGTCTGTCAACAGTACTAATCTCAAAAACAGAACGTTTCCTGGACTTTTCACAGCCATTTCATTCATCTATTAGCCTTATTGGGCCCTTTAACAGACCCAAATGACAGATTTTCCTACCCTTTAATATATTTCAACAAGTGAAATCACTACTCTTTCTTATACAGCTATTTCGAGAAAGGTTGTCGGAAGGCTGGTATGGCCAGCCGAAATATTGTTATGAAAAAACAATACACGTTGTTCTGAATCAGCTATGCACTATTGGACTCCTCGTTTTTGGTATATATATATATATATATATTAGTTGTTTTTGGCTTGCCAACATTTAACTCAAATCGGACTAATCACAAACTGTGTAAGAAACTAGCTAATGAAAAACACCAACATAGGTAACCCTTTCCGGCGGAGCCTCCCAGCCGTAGGCCAGTATAGGAAAACCCCAGGGTCTGGTTTTTTTAAAAGATACTATTCTTAAACATTCTCTTTATTTCCATCCCGGAAGCACAAAATATTGGCGTTCAGTCCTGAACACAATGAGTGATGCCATAAACAACAAGTTTACTCCGCTACAAGACGATGCCCATCCTCTCCCCTGAGTTATTTCGAATCCTTTTCTCTTTGTCTTTAAAACGCGCATCTTCCATATACATGCTAAGCAGCTGTTTTATTAAAAGGCCGGGAATAAAATATATAAAACATTTCGATAATTGAAGCATTTGTTAGTTTCCCTGAAAGCAGAAATACGTATTATCAAGTGAGAATAACGGGACAGAGAGGGTAAGGCCCTGCAGCCAGTTCAGCAGGCCAGCGGCTTTGGAAAAATATGACAATCATTGCACCAAACGTTATTTTAGGACAATTAAACGCTGTTGCTAGAATACATAGAAAAAGTTAAATTCCCTTACAGCTATGCCACCGTTCTTTTATCGCTTTTAGGTCTCGGACCCCGCTGCCGCTCTATCTAAAGTTCTTTAAAAGCAAACGGCCTTTGACAGTTCATAATGGAAAGAAACAACCTCATTGAACAACAAAAGCAACACTTGGCATAGAAAATAATCGTAATGAAAACTGTCCTTAACACTGCTATCACTTTATTCAATCCTCGGAATGCTGGAAATTACGCTTCTGAGAATGTGGTTTTCAATTTGTTTGTGAACGAAAGCATGTCCCGAGACTGACCCCCTAAATTACAGGAGACCTGACACCCCCCTCACTACTGCCTTTTTCAAATAGCCAGCAGGCTAATCATGTATTTATTGGATAAATAAATTATTAACATCCCGGAGGCCTATCATGTAAAATCACATGTATTTCCACATAAAAAGCGGTACTTACAATATGTAACATGCCATCATTAAAAATTTGCATAGGTTATAGCATTATTTGTTGTTGGCATGAATGCCACGAGTGATAATTCAAAATGGTTATACGAGACAATTTTGTGGTATTTATGCCAAATATCACGTACATTATTTGTTCATACTACTACCCGCAAAAGGCTTGTAATTTTCACATGTAGGTATTTCAAAAAAGCTGAAAATATGTATACCACTGCTTTAGGCCAATCAAATTGCAGAAATTTCTCATGTCGTAGTATAATGGGAAGTAATACAGCAAATGACGTGAACACGTAATTTCAATAACCTTGTCCAAAGAGCAATATTAAAAAATTAAACAAAAGAGAAAGCTAGGAGTAAATTAGAGTATGAATGACTCCAGTCCTTAACTGAATATAACGTCGAATAAAATAGGTTAAAAAGGTTACCAAAATAAGTTTCCTCCCGACAGTTGGTGTTTATTTGGAGGTATCATCTTTTGTATTTTGACATTTTTATATATTCTTATTTAAAGATGGATATTACAATTTTCCAGTTTTCACAAAGCCAAGTGACGAAAATATCCAAACCTGAGTCATGCAACTTTTATCCACAGAATTCTTTTAATTTTATTCGTTATCATGACCGTGTGCTTTTTATCGTTGACGAAGAGAGTTGGATTGACTGCATGAAGAACTAACTCCTGCAACTCCGGTAAAGGTTGGACTATTTGGATCGAGTAAGACGACGTGGAGCGAGGAGAGATAACGGCTGTATTCACAGGCCAGGTTACTAAACTAAACTTGTTCTTGGTACTGAAACTCGGACTAAGGTGCTCAGGCCAAAAGTCATCAATTCTAATTCAATTCATTTCAAGCCGTATGCTCGAATCCCGAAACATCGAGTTTGGATTCCAGTTCGAGTTCGAGTTCGAGTTCGAGTTCGAGTTCGAGTTCATTATGAGCACATTGTTCAGGCAGTGTGTGCGCTAATTAAAAGATTGTTTAATTACTAATTTTTTATTGTAACTGTTCAGCATAATTTTATGATATAAATTTTTTAATATATACTGCTGTTGATCCCCGCAGTTTGTTTTTCAGGCTTCAGGTATATGAAAGGGTGGGGATTTCACTTGTTGGAGCATACGAAAGGGTAGGGAAATCTGTCATTTGGGTTTGTGAAAGAGACAAAGGGCTAACAGATGAAGTTTATAGCTTTATAAAGACAGTGCATTTACAGCAGTTCAAAGGGATACAAAGTTCTAAACAAGGTGTGTGAAAGGA